CCCTGACCAGGTGCTGATGACCCCCTCTTGTTTATCTTTTGGCCAATTAAGTAGAAATTTGTGTTGACTAATGGATTGCATTGCTGGTGACATACTCATGATCTCATTAAAGAACATTGGTTGCATCCCTAAGTATGGATATATTCATGGTGTTCATCACCAATATCTAAGCACTCTGGGCCATTTGAGGTGACAGCAGCTCTTGATGCTTATTTTGAGTAGACAGAACCTGAAAAATCCTGGGCAAAATGGTCTTAAAGGGGCGGGAATTTTTAAAGAAATTGAATGTAGAAAGGTTTCTAGAGCACTGACTAGATCCTACCCTTGACCCCTAAGAAATCCCCTGAAAAGCCTACATGCGAATCAGACAGGTGTTAGACACAATCTCTGGTGCAGATTCCTTGAGAAAACATTTACATATCACTTGATATATAATGAAATATACATGCCTTGAATAGTGCTGCCCCTCACATGCTCAGATTAGAAAGGCAAAAGTTTATTTTTACAAACCAAGTGAGTATTAGAATAAAACATTCAAGACTGCTATCCATTTCTTTTTCTTTTTTCCAGCTCAGGTTGTGGCAACCCTGGTCTTTCTGGTCACAAAGTGCTGATTTTCTCTGAGGCATGACATTTTTTAATACTTGCTGTTCTTGTATAAGTGATAAAGAATCATGTAATGAGAAGTTTTTTCTTTTTAAATTAAAAAAATTTTTAAATTGTTTTTTGTTGAAGTATAAGTCAGTTTACAATGTTTCTGGTGTACAGCATAATGTTTCAGTCATATATATACATACACATATTCGTTTTCATATTCTTTTTCATTATAGGTTACTGTATGATATTGAATGGAGTTTCCTGGGCTGTACAGTATAAGCTTGTGTTTTATCTGGGTTTGTGAAGATTCTCCTTGTATTTCCAATGTAGGAGATATTCTGCCAAAGTTCAGCAGGTATTTTGTGTGCATTGTTCCATATGTAGGTGTAGTTTTTGTTGTATTCATAGGAGAGGGTGAGCACCGTGTCCTACTCTGCCATCTTGGCCTCCGAGATTTTTTCTTAACATACCTTGACAGGAGTGCTACAGCTATGAAGTGATAAGATGGGGTTTTATTCATCAACCACTGTAGACATATACAATACACTGTTCAAAGGAGGTAGGTTGGGAGACCACGCAGCTGTTCTGTGATGGCGCTGCTAGAAGGTGATTGGTGAACGTGCTTCTTTGGGAACCGTTGCCACAGGCAGTTGAGAAATTTTATGGGGGAAACAGTCTCGTTACTTTCCAGCTTTACTCCTCCTATAATTCACCAGACAGGGTTTTGGATCACTTTTAGTATCATCTCCATCATTCAAGAGAATGTGCCTCAGGACCAGGAGCCAAATGGAATTTCAAACATGACTTCAAAACTTCAAAAGGGATGTAAATTGACTGAACATATAGTCACAGTTGGGGAAACAAAGGAGGGAGAAATCAAGCATAGTCTCATCGATGTAGACCCTCAACTCTCTCTCTCACATTCTGTTGTGCATGGACACTTGTGATTTTTCTCAAAGCAGTAACCACAGCTGAGGTAAAAACTTGAGTATTCTGCTTCTTTACCCCTTTTCCCCCCAGAGCTTTGTTGAGATGTAATTGACATAGAACATTGTGTAATTTTAACGTGTAAATAGTGATATTTGATAAACGTGTATATTGCAAAATGTTTACCACAATAAGGTTAGTTAACACCTCCTTCACCTTACGTAATTATCATTTTGCTGTTGCTGTGGTGAGAACATTAAAGTTCTATTCTCATAGCAACTTTCAAGTATATGGTATACAGTTGACCCTGAAACAAAACAGGTTTGAACCACATGGGTCAACTTATAAGCAGATTTTTTTTCCAGCAGTAAATACTACAGTACTACACAATATGTGGTTGATTGAATCATGGATATAGAGAAAATGCAAGTACAGAGGAACCACAGATATGGAGCCTCAGATTCGGAGGACAGACTGTAAGTTATACTCAGATGTTTGACTGCGCAGAGGGTTGGTGCCCCTCACTCCAGAGTAGTTCAAGGGTCAGCTGTAGTAATGTTATGTATATACAGTAGGAATTTGTTGTTTATCTATTTTATATATAGTAGTTTGTATCTGCTAATCTCAAACTCCTAATTCATCCCTCCCTCCACTCTTTCCCCTTTGGTAGCCTTAAGTTTGTTTTCCATGTCTGTTCTGCTTTATGCATAAGTTTATTTGTATTATACTATAGATTTCACATATGAGTAATATCATATGACATTTGCCTTTCTCTTTCTGACTTACTTCACTTAGTATGATAATCTGTAGGTCCACCCACATTGCTGCAAATGGCATTATTTAATTCTTTTTTATAGTTGAATAGTATTCCATTGCATATATATACCACAGCTTCTTTATCCATTCATCTATTGATGGACACTTAGGTTGCTTCCATGTCTTGGCTATTGTAATAGTGCTGCTATGAACATTAGAATGCATGTATATTTTTGAATTAGAGTCCCCTCCAGCTGGACTATAATTCAAGCTATGTGGCCAGGAGTGGGATTGCTGGATCATATGGTAAGTCTATTCTTAGTTTTTTAATGAATCTCCATACTGTTTTCCATAGTGACTGCACCAGTTTACATTCCCACCAACAATGTAGGAAGGTTCCCTTTTCTCCATACCCTCTCCAGTATTTATTATTTGTAGTCTTTTTAATGATAACCATTCTGACCCAGATGAGGTGATATCTCACTGTAGTTTTGATTTGCATTTCTCTAATAATTAATGAAGTTGAGCATCTTTTCATGTGCTTATTGACCCATTTCTAAAGTGGATTGGTTTTTCACTTCGTATTGTCTTTTTTTTTTTTTGCTGTGAATTGTAGAAGTTCCTTATAGTTTTTGCATGTGAACCTCTTATCAGATATATGGTTTGCAAATGTTTTCTTCCATTTGATAGGTTGACTTTTTCTTCCTTCCTTCCTTCCTTCCTTCCTTCCTTCCTTTCTTTCTTTCTTTCTTTCTTTCTTTCTTTCTTTCTTTCTTTCTTTCTTTCATTGTTTCTTTTGCTGTGTGGAAGCTTTTTAGTCTAATGTAGTCTCACTTGTTGATTTAACTTTTGTTGCTTGTGTTTTGCACTTTTCATGGAACATTTTCTCATAATAAGTTTTTTATGTTGCTGTGGCCAGGTTAGGGGTGGCGGTCTTCAAGATGATCACATTTTGTGCAAAGGGGTCCCCTTTGGAAGATAACCTCAAGTTGACAAGACAAATTTCTCTACTCCAAACACCTTGATCCAAAAGAGATTGGTGCTATCCAGTCTTAAGACAGTCCTCCTACCCCATAGCCAACCTTCATTTCCGGCAGAGAAAATATGAGTAATTCATGCCACGAAGCTCTGTGACTTGACACTGTGGCAAGTCATGTGATGTTTTCTGATGCCACTTATCCTAAAATCAGACAACACTCATTGAAAACTTTGCCATTTACTATTCATTCTTGTGCCATGGAGGGTAATAATGGATATGTAATCAAGGTTGTTGTGAAGATTAAGTGAACTAGTATGTGTCAAGCACTAAGAACAGTGCCTGACACTTAATAAGGGTCTTGTATTTGTAAAGTAAATAAATATATTTTAAAAGGTCATGTCACATTGTAAACTTATAAACTCTAAATTTTGAATTTAGAACAAAGATGAATGTATTTCATATAGCAAAGGGCCAGTTCTCTGTTCAGTTACCACAGAATACCTATTAAATAAGATTATTCAATGGGGAGTTTCATTAATAACATAACAAAATTGTGGTTACCAGGGGGGAAGTGGTGGGATGGAGGGATAAACTGGAAGTTTGTGACTTGCTGATACTAACTACTATATATAAAATAGATAAACAGCAAGGTCTTACTGTATAGCACAGGGAACTATATTCAATACCTTGTAATAGCCTATAATGAAAAAGCATATGAAAAGGATTATATATATGTATAACTGAATTACTGTGCTATACACCAAAATTAACACAACATTGTAAACCACCTATACGTCAATCAATCAAACAAACAAATACCTTAAAGGAAGATGAAGAGCTCCCTCTATATCAACACTAATCTCTGTAAAGGGGATTCAAGTTCTTGTTGTAGAACCAACAAGAAGAATATGTCAGAATTGTGGATAGTGGCACAAACACTCCTGAGAATCCCACAGCTCATGCAACATAGAGTGAGATCTTAGAAAAACATCCTTAAAAGACTTAGAACTAAGTTAGAAAGATTCCTAGTGGTGATGGACAATACACTTTGCATAATGAATACTAGGGCTTTATGTAACAACATCATTCAACAGTCACATTATGAATGCACTTTAATATGAAAAATATTGTCTTGTGTTCTCAGTTCTCAATTGCCTGCACAAATGGAGAAAAACAATTGCACAGGTAATCTGAAACAGTACCAACTTTCTAAATTCTTAATTTGGAACATATCAAAATCATACTTTATGCAATCGAGATGATCCTAAAATGTTAAAATATGAATTCGATCTTATTTAAATGTAATAATTTATCACATTTTAATGATCTCAGAGAACTCCACTATTTATAACCCAGTGACACACTCTTCTATATATAATAAAAGACTTCTTTAGGTGTACAAACAGTTGCTCTCTACCTTATCTGTCTTAAATTCATTTAGACTTTGATAAATACGTTTTTAGAAGCACAGCATAATCATGAGAAAGTTTTAAATAATTTTCCCCAAACTGATTTAGATTTTAGACTGTCCACTTTATTAAAAATCAAGTTAATTTTAAAAAGTGTGTACTTGAGAAAATATAAAGAAGAAAATGAGTATTATCCTCAGTTACTGTTAGATTTTGTGGCATAATGTTCCAGAATTTTTTACACAGAAACACACATAGACACACACACACAGAATACATTTTCCTCACAAACTAGTTTAATATTTTATAGCTTCCTTATTTTTTACTTAAATATATGGACAGGGCAATTGCATGAGGTTTACTATTTTCAACTATTTTGGGGTATTTCCTTTATATTTATAATGCTTATATTATATGCTATTTGAGTTTTTTCTCATTTATATCTCATCTCCCCAAGTAGATTATAACCTCTTTGAAGCAGGAACCCTCTTTTATTCCTTTATATCCCCTCAGGGTAGTCAACTCATGCATGAGGTCCTCCATTCAATCCCCAGTACCTCCATTAAATATATATATAGAGAGAGAGAGATTAGTGATTGATTAATTTGCTTGGAAATGCCATAAATACCCAATTACTGAGCACAAAGATAAGAAGCCCTTGAGACCAGCTAGCATGGATTTAATATCCACAAGCTTCGACATTGTAAATAACATTCTGAATAACAATCGATCTGTAACACATACAAGGGAGCACAGTTGTACTTGGTCACAAAACACAAAACGGTTCCTTTGGGCAGAGTATTGTGTCTCCTGTCATACTAAGGGAACATGGTTGGCTTAAAGGTTCATGTCAGGGGGCTTGCATTCTCCTGGGTCTTTTCTGAACATCAGTGGTTATAATTACATTATAATTATATTAGTAAGAAACTTCTTGATCTTTCATTACTCATTGCTCTTTAGCTCCAAAAACAGATGACTGGAATCCCATTCTGCCCTTTCCCACCCCCGCCCCGTTGACAATACTGACAGGCATATGCAGAACAGATAAACAAGATTATACTGTATAGCACAGGGAAATATACACAAGATCTTGTGGTACCTCACAGTGAAAAAAATATGATAATGAATATATGTATGTTCATGTATAAATGAAAAATTGTGTTCTACACTGGAATTTGACACAACATTCTAAAACGACTATAACTCAATAAAAAAATGTTAAAAAAAAAAAACAAACAGATGACTAGCCAGATGCCACCCAGAGTTCCTTCCACCTCTACCGTCCTGGGCTTTCTATGTATGCAGTGCTGATAGGCATCGGTTCAGTGAACGGACACTCAGACTGTGAAAATAAACAGTAGCCTGGATGTAGACTCCTTACTGGTCATTGTTGAATGGCATGTCTCAGGTGTTTCTCAGGTGTTTCATGTTTGTGTCTGGACCTGGGGGCACCGGTGACTCTGTATATGTGATGAACATATAGCTGTGCCCGCCTTCCTTACTCAGCTATTGTGCCCTATCCTATAAATGCCATTTACAGTGATAGTAAGGAAACCACCCAGACTTAGATTATTTTAGTGAACCATTTAAGCAGATTATTCTGTATCTTGCTTTGACTATCTCAGTGGAAAAAGAGACAGAAATTACCAAAAGGAAATACCACAAAGACCATGATTTCTATGCTGGGAGTGCTAAGTTTATTAGAAAACCAACAACATGATATAGGAGTGAGCTGGGGTCTTGTGAAGACAGGGTATTCTTCATCAGTAATTAGTCTGAAAGGTGTTTCCCATGTCCCCTATGGGTAGTTTGAAGAGAGGAGGTATGGGCTTCTCAGGAAAAGACATGTTCTGCTGTGAAGCTATGGGACAGTAGGATGGACCAGACCATATGCTGGGGGACCCTTAGTAATGATGCGATCCTAGGATGCAC